ACACCTAATAAAAAAGTAATCTGCACATGCAGACCTCTAACTGCAGCCAATATATCCTGGGCCAGCACTGAAAATGCTCAATTTCATAGTTATGAAGTAGTCGACAAGCTGATTAGTAGGAGACAAAGGTGGCATTTAAAAAAAGAATGGCTTATTGATTTCTGATCAACCCCTCATCAGTGTTATCTCAAGCCCTCTCAGCAAACAGACTTTTACGCTAGGGTAAGGCTCTGCTCTGCTAATGGGAAGGTCCTGTCCCGCCAGGATCACGCAGGGTGCTCTCCCCTCTGCTCCGTGCTGTGGACCAAAGCGCAGCGTGCAAGGACAGCTGACAGGAGGTTCTCTTCCAGTGCGCTCCCCTGACCCGCGCTAAGGCAGTGCCTGTGCCGATGTGGATCTAAAGGAGCTCCTGTTGCGCGGTACAGCTCCATCTACTGATGCGAGAATTCCCCAGGCAGCAGAACGACTCCGCTGCCGGGGTTTAAGCAAACATTTCTGGTATCGTTAGAAGGCGTTCAAGGACAGGAGCACAAGGAGCAGGGGCATGCAAGGACATGATGTTAAGAAGCCTGAAAAACCGTGGCTCAGGTTTATACAAATGACAAAAGAGGTTGCTCAGAACTTCTTCAGAAGAAGCATGACACAAACTTCTGAATAGCCCTAACCAAAGGCAAAAATCCATCTGTTAGCACTCCTTCCAAGTCACACCAGGAATCAATTTGACCCCTAGGGGAAAGGGAGTATAATCAAATTACATTAAGGGAAAGGGCTTTAATTAAGTAACATTTAACTGCAGTTATATTATTTTCATTGTGTTACCGTATTTTTTTAATGTATGACTTATTTTTCATTCAGTGTTATTATGGTAATATTCCCTAAGTTGTGTAAGATTTTATTAGCACTTTTTCTTATTTGATGGCTTTATTCCTGCACTTACTCAAGAGATTTCATAATTGCACTGTAATATTAGTAATATTAGTAATTAGTAATATATTCCTAGATGAACACTGGAGTAAGGCATTATAAAAATATAACTGAGGGAAAAGGAAGCTAATTTATTTTTATACTTCAGAGGTGATTCTGCTTCCAGCAAATATCAAGAATATTATACCTCAGGACCTCCTATGGAAACATGGAAAGCTTTTTCAGTGGTCTGCTAAATCCCACATTTCAGATTGATCTCAAGAGAGGAGGAACAACTTTTAACAATTTTGATGATGATGCTAAGGTCCACTAGTACCCCCAGGGAATGATATCCAGCTTCCCTGGGGAGCCACCTCAAACCCCCTAGTTTTCCTGTTAACTGAGGAAAAACTATTTGCACCCTCCTCTAACCCTCACTCTTGGACTAAGGCTCACATGCAGTGTCTGATGTGGGGAACTGCTATTTTGGCTCCATATGTTCAAGCTGTCACATACTAACTTCACAGCAAAAACACCTGTATCTTCAAACCTTCTGTGCTGAAGGCATCAGAGGAGAGTGGACTACTGTTTTTAGCAGCAACTCACAAAAAAAAGCAGCCAGGTAGACGAACAAACCAAGATACTGCTGAAGGAACACAGCTGGCAAATGAAAGTTTACAGTCAGGCTTTTCTTCCTCAGGTGCAACAACACTGACACCTATATGTGGACACAGGGTGGAAGGACAAGATACCTGTCCCTTAGTTTTGGCTATGCCAGTTCTTCCAACATCTTTCATGAGCAGAGGTACAGCTAGACCCTGTGCTGAGAAACCCCAGATGAAAGAGTGGGAGTGGGAACAGGCACTTGGAGACATGTCCACAGAGCAGAGATTCGTTTACTCCCACAAGGCACTGTAAGTGCTCAAGCCCAGGCTCTCAAAGCCTTGAATCCTGTTTTCCATCATTCTTCAGGATTTTCTTCTCTTCTTTGATAAACAATCATTCCAGCCTTGCATAAAAGATTTTCTCCTTCTTTCTCCTGTGTAGATATTTTACCTTTCTACAAGAAATTAACTGCCTCCTTTGTACAGTTTACTTTTCAACTTCTTCACCTCTTGTCTTTCCTGCTCATGCACTCTGGCTTGACTGGTTGGCATTTATTTTCCTACAGAGGTCTCCTGGTGATGACGCTGCTAAGCAGATGAGCCTCTTGGAAAACCCTTCCTAAGGTCATCTCCAGCAGATTAAACCATTTGGAATTTTTCCAGTTTAATCCTTGTCTCCTCTATAGCTTCTAGGTTACACTCTTTGCTCCTGATTTTGAACTACAATTCCACATTGGGCTTATTTTACCTGGGAAGTCAGACAGCTCCCAGTTAGAACTGGGTTTCACAAATCAAACTTTTCAAGCCACACCTTTAAAAGGAAGATAAATTTTATTTTCTTTATGCAATCTTTCTCTGTAAGTTTAATTAGCAGCAAAGAGCAGTTACATTAATACCATAAAGCTGAATAAACAGGTTGTTATAAGTTTCTCCTGGGAGGAAAAAAAAAGACATGAGTATATCTTTCAGTAATGGAAATTTGTTTTTTAAATGTCACTGTGATTTCCAAGCCTTTATTCTCCATGTGACTCTTTCTGAGTACAGCAGGAGCTGGCTGCTCCCTTAGGAATGAGAACTGGTGGCAGTGGGGGCTTCCCATTGGGGGTCTGGCAGGGCAGAGTCTGGCACAGCTGGGGGGGGACTGGAGACCAGCCCAGCTGGGGTGTTGTTGGGGCAGAGGCTGCCCTTTCTATGAAACAGCCCATCTTGCTCAGTCATCCACTGCTCCTGTGCAGTCTGACAGTGCAGACAGACAAACTGACTGATGGATACAGACAGACAGACAGTGGAGACAGACTGCCCTCAGCCCACCCAGCCATGCCCAGCACAGCCGGGCCTCCTGTGCCAGCTTACGTTTTGTTACAGTGTCTGTGGACAGGCTGCGGAGGAGGGGAAGAGAGAGGGAAAGACAAACATCTATTTCCACATGGGAAATGAGCGTGGAGAATCTGCACTCCAAACTCAAACTGAGATGGGAAAAGGCTCAGCTTGACAAATGGAATGTCATCAGTGCTTCAGATGAACACATCCATCAGCAGAGGCGTGTTTTAGCCAGTTGCTTGTACACCAGGCTTTGGGGGAAAGCAAGGGGAACTGAAGAGACAGGTATGAAAATCTGTGGTGTTTCCATGGCTCTGAAGTTTTGGCAGCATGCAGGCACCTGCCTGCAGGATTGGCCACACCACTGACCAGCTTAAAAACCGTGGTACCTCTCATTTGGCAACTTTAAAACGCGCGACCAGCCCGCCGGTGGTGTTTGGGACAACGTTATGTTCCTACCAACCAGAGCTGCAATGGAAAACCATGGCTCTCCTGACCTGCTCCACTGCTCCTCAGCAGGGAGGGAGGGATTGCGTGTAAGCACCGGTTCCCGCTGCAGCCACCATGTGCTGCGTGGGAATGAGAGCAGTGTAGTGAACTGCAAAAGCTCACAGCTGCAGGGCTACCGGGAGGAGAGAGCGTGCCACTGACTAACAAGTGGATACACTCTACTGCCTAATGCCTAAATTTGTTCCTCCTCAGACAGACAAGTACCTGCATTAAGTAAAAAGCTTAGTGAATACATTAAATAATGAAAATAGCACACACATGATTTACAAGATTATTTACAACACATGGGGATGTGGCCTCATTATTTTAAGAAGCCAGTGGCTTTTCTGCTAAAAACTTTGAGGCTGTTACAATTTCTAATTCCTACACTACATCTGAGTTAAATTTTCATGAGTCTCAAAAACTCATGAAATCAACTGGAGGAATTCACAGCATCAAAACTGTGCTTTACATGTCTAGACAAATCTGATTATCACCATGCCCTTCAGAAATATGTTATATATTCCCAGCATATCAGATTTTACATAGCATTACCATTTGATGTGGTCTAACTTCAGTTGACAAATCAGAGGATAATGATCAGGATGGTAATTTATTTCAGTTTTAAGAAATTAATGATGTTTACATCAAGCAAGATAAGGTATTTGAGAATGGTATTAGATGGTTCTGAATAAAAGTCTTCATTTTATGTTAAATGTATCTTTAAAAAGTATTTTCAGTATCATAAATAAGGTAAAATAAAAAACAAATTAAAGGAAAAGTTTTGATTGCATAGTGTTTGCTGCAGTGGAGTGTTTTGAGATTAAATGGAATTCCTACTAAGCTGAAAGCAATTAGGAGCACAAAATTCATAGTAAAGGTGCAGTCCCAGAATCTGCAAAATTACAAATTTGTCACATCAATAGAGAAGCCTGTAGACATTTTAGGAAAAAGTGGATATAATCCTTCTTCCTGGAGATGGTATGAATTGTGCCAGTGATTAGCATGAACAAGGCAGACCTTACTAAATAAAAGCAGATAGAAACTCGGGTTATCACTTGCTGCTTCCCTGTTTTGCATCTAAAGCCAGGCTGGCTGGATTCTTACTGTCTTCCTCAAAAGGCAAAGATGGTTTCATGGTTCTTAGTATAATCATCTGGGGCCTGTTGAGAAAGCAGGTTATTGCTATTGCTCCAGACCCAGAAGTGGGATTGTAGAGCTCACAAGAAACACATCCAGCTGAAACTGGGAAAGGCACAGCAGCTGCTCAGAACAAAGGAGGGGTTGTAACTGGCATTTTGAGACCTGGATCACACTCAATCATCCCAGACCAGGATCCAGTTGCTTTAGTTACCGAAAGCTCCTGCCAGTAGGACTGTCTCATCATCTACAAAAATATGATGCACAAAGCCATGCCAGAAGCATCAAGTTACCAGATTCTCAGTTCCATGTGAAAAACTAAGTTACGGAGGGCTTAAATATTATGCCAGTGGTTACACAAAATGAGACCAGCACGCCCAAGTCCTGTGGGTAGTGAGCTCCTGCCCCACGTTACCTAGCACACAGGGAGGACAACGCAAACCAACAGCTGGAATTGGAACATTTTACCCATGCAAGCTCTTAGGGACAAGGCAACGTGATCTGCAACTAGTGGTTCTTCCAAACTCTGCAATACTACACTCACCTGTGTTGGTCAATGCCATTCAGAGGATATTTTGTTGGCTGCAAGAACATGAAAAGAATTATGTTGCACATAAAAGGAGTTGTGCTATTATGCATGCCCTCAGCTTTGTCCTGTCTCAGTTTTAATTAATACAAGTCAATGCTTTGCGAGGACAGGAGCAAGGCTGCTCTTCTTTTGAGGCCCTTCTTTCTGTAAATCTCTCCTGTCCCAGTTAAGCTAATCAACATTCTTACAACGCTTTTTCATATGGAACTGTCACTATTCTTTAAATGTGTTACTATCTACCAATAATTACCATTTTCTACAGCTTATAACACTTCTTTCTTTTTCATTAGCACTTCAAAATGTTCTCACGTTCTACAATATCTCATTAAACTGGAATCCTGATTATTTCTATTGTGCTAGCAAGTGTGTCACTGGCACTATAATGGTTATATTTTTCTATTTTAACTATCCAAATGAAGCAAAAATCAGTCTCATTTCATTCTTTCCAGACAAATACCAACTTCTTTTATTTAAGCATCTGTATTCATATTATACAATCCCTATTTATATTTCCAATGCTACACTACTCTACTTAAATGAAACATCTTTTCATGGCATGTTGTCTACAATCTTGCTGTCAGGACATAAGCATGCATATTAAGGCCAAATTATGAACAAGACTTTGGTAATTTCCATTCATTTTGAAGCTCTTCTTAGCACTGGAGTGGCAAACACTCCCTGTGTAGGTTGTCAGATGCATCTATGTTCATGTAATACTCACTTGCTTTTTCCCTGCCGTGCAAAGTTGGTGCATTATTACTTTGGGATGGCTGGAAATGTTCACTGTGAAGCAAGCCATGCCCAAGGACATCCTGGAAAAGCAAAAAATGGAAGGAGTAATCCAGTTCTTGAACACTGTCAATGTAAATATGAGCCAAGAGAGAAGAGATAACAAATAGATTATTAAGGCCAGTAAAAAAGGAATGATGACAGAAAGAAAACTGGATCTTTTCTGTGGGTATCACATCAAGAAGTAGTATGACAAAGAGTCACAAAAAGAAAATCAGGTGGTTTTGCAGATATTTATAAGGGTATGTGAGAGGGAGCTTCATGAGGAAAAGTGTTAAGGTTTACAGATGTGGACTTTCAAAAGCATCTAAGTAATTTTAGAACATGCACCCTATTGGCTTTTAGTAAGGCTGATACCCACAAAGCACTTTGAAAGTGCAGGTGTAATTTCTTTTCCTCCTGATCCACTTTTAAAATACAGATAAGTTACAGTCTAAACAAAAATAAATTGCTCTACTAAATAACGTCAAGCATAATTGTCTGAGAGTCCTAGGTGCTGTAAAATCATTATCTGGCCTTTGGTGAATGATTTAGACTGTCTGCAGTGATGTCTACTTCATAAGCAAGTTGTGGGCCACAATTAATCTTTTGCAAGGGTTCTATGAGAGTAGGGGAAACCAACTTTAAATGACCAAGCACTAAAGGCCTTTTACTTTCCAAAGCATTAGTATTTGAGGAGTATTGGTAGGAAGCAGGACTTGAAAGTACCCAATAGAGGCCAGGCATGTCTGGTTTGGGAACACTGCTTGAGCACAGGTGTGTCAGCTGCCTTAAGGATTCTCTTCTCATGGTGGGGTGCAGGACAAGATCTCCAATGGTCATGGTTTGTTTTTGAAGGGGGCCTGTCTAATACAGATAGGAAACAAAAATTTCAGTGGTCTGTGCAATCAGCCATTGCCCTCAGAGACAAAGGGGTTTTGGCAATTTATTCCAATCTCTCTTGATCTACTCTGAGGGGCAGATACTCCTCCTGCACTAGGAGAAATACAGATGCGCAGCAGGTAAATAGTAGCAGCCAACTCAGGAACTGAACACCAGTTAGGGAGCTGTTACTCTGACAGTGATAACAAGCTGTGCAAAGAACCACACGAGACAAAAATCCTATGTCAGAACTGAAGTTTTGGCTGGTGAGCAGCTGGAGTGGAAGGTGACCGACCTAAAGTGTGGCAAGTACCTTTTAGCCCTGACCAGGGGACAAGCCCAAGCCAGATCTTAGCTGAAAAACTGGAATGGCAATTCTTTTAATCACAAAGAACACTCCATATATTTGTTAGGTGTCTGATTTACATTAAGCTAAATGAGCATTAACAAACCAAGAGCAATTTATAGCCACTTAAATAAAAATTAATTTTCTTCTCTGTTATCCACATTTTCCTACTGTAGTTTATGACACTGTAAACCATCTGTGGTCCTTTCATTGCTTTAAATCTTTCTAGGAAAATAAGGATACCCAAACATATGGAACAACTACACAAAAAACCTGTCTGCTTTTTATTTGGGTAAGTTCCATATAAAGTATATATCAAGTTCTATGCCAGTATAAACCAGGTAATTCTTAAAAAGATGGGGCTGGATTTGTCTCATTTTTTAAAATGTTTTGGGCCATCACTGGTGAGTTTTCATTTTTAATATTGTAGATAATAGGCAGTAGAGAATTTTGTCTTCAATAAAGAAAAATAATTATTTTTCTAGATATATCTATGCTTTGCATGAAATTAACTTTTACTTCAAATAGGTCCTCTCCCAGAAGAATGAGATCATTGAAATCAGGACAGAAAAGTCCCTGACACATGATTCAACATAAATAAACTCCATAAGGTCAGTATATTTGTATAATCATGTTATTTATAACACTGAACATTTGCTTCTACGCTGCACTGCTCAAAGCATTTTCTTTCCAACCAATTTCAGTGCATAGAGAGCATCAGAAAAAGACTGTACTTCCCTCTGATTAAAAGAAATCTGATATTGAAACTGGAACTGATTGAGCCTGTGCCCAACTGTTCAGAGAAGCAATTATTTTACACATTAACCTAAGCTCCCCTCAGCAGCTACTGTAAGTGAAGAACATGTCAGATCGTGGTTTCAGATGAAGACAAAATACCACCACTATTGAATTATCACAGGCTCCATCTGTGCTGAAATTTAAAATGGAATCCAAATAGAAATATGTTTACACAGTTTCACGTTTCAAAGTATACCTTTGACCCTGCATTGCTCTCCTGTACCCCATAATACTTTTTGTCATGGATCTTAAGTAAGCTTTTGGTACAGAAAATTGTCTTAGTGATCCAAACCAAAGAATTCAGCTATTCAAACCAAAAAATGGTTTCAATTGCGTTTGTTGTTATGCATTTGAGTTGGTGCATGTAATACCACACAAAGGGTCAAAATACGGACAGGATGGCTTATTTTTGAAGATTATCACAGATTCTAAACCAAAATATTCTGAATTAAGATATACTGCTTTGTTGCTAAGAATTCTTCAGGGGATTTGAATATTGGAGCTGAATTAAAAAAGCAAAAACCCCACACTCTAATAGGTAAATGAAATTGCAGCTGTGCAAACTCTTCAAAACAACCACTAAACTGCATTGACATTTCTGGCAGAAGATAGAAACTAATTGTACATTCCGATTACCAGTGTGACTACCCTGTGTCTTAGGGCTAAATTAGTCCTTGTGATCTGCTCACTTAAGTGTGAAATCCTCATGGATGTCTGTACAAGACCAACATAATTCACTTCTTATGTTGCCCCTGATTTTGGAGGATATATGCTAGTGGGCCTGCATCTGACTTCTGTTTCATTAAACATGCTTGCATATTTGCCTAAAATACCCTTTATTTTCCTTCCCTCGTTATTGTCCAGAGTTACAGTGTTCCTCATTCCACAGGACTTCATTGCTAGGTGAACTTACTCAGTTCCCACAATGTGTATGATCTCTCTAGTGTTTCAGGATGTCCTGACCTGGAAGTCAGACACCTTTGCAGACAGACACCCCTGCTCGGGCTGGACCTAAGCTGGATATCTCCATCAGGCAGTGTAGGTTAGATGCAGTCAGAAGGATGACTGAGGATGAAAGGAACTCCTGTCAGAAGTTTTCAACACAGAGTGTTTAATGAATAAGTCAGAGTATCATGAACATACCAAGGAAATACTGAGTTGGGACTTATCAGCTGGGACACTCTTTTAAAAACGAAACATGAATAAATCAAACAATTACTTGCTTCAGAACTATATGCAAACAGCTGCTGGGAAAGAGTCAAGAGTCAGAAGGGAGCTAGTGGTGAAACTGCAGACCTCTGAAGTTTGCCTTAAGGTCCAAGCAGCATATTTTTAAACAGAGACCAAAAAAGAAAAAAATATGCTAAGAGAAACTTGTCAGTGATGTACAACTGACAAATTCATTTGGGATTTTTGATGGCTTAAGTGGAAGAAGAAAAATCATGGCTATGACCTGGAACAAAATGCTCAGACCCTGGGAAAACCAATGCTTAATCTTTGGCAAAATAATTAGAACAAATGAAGTCATACAGTCCATGAAACAGATGAAGCCCGACCAGTGGTAGTACCAGCACTATGGAAGTAAGAGAAAATCTAGACTCTACGTATGCTACCAAAAAAAATCAAAAAAAGAAAAAAAACCCAAACAAACAAAAAGAAAAAAACCTCTCATACAACAAAGGCCCCCCAAAAAACTAAGAGAAGCACCAAGATCTCAGAGTTTAAAAATGGATATTGCATGGTGCATAGATCTTATCTGCTTCAGCAAACACAAGGCAAAACAAGACAGAAGATAAGATTCAAGACACAGTAGATTATTTCACTCAGGATGAGGCTGCACACATCAGTAGAGCAGAAAAGTCTCAGGCAATGATGACCAGTTGAGCATTACAAGCGTCCCACTGAAAATAATGAGATTTCTTTTGTTCCACATTATCAGGCATATACTGAAACATTTTTTAGCTCAGGGCAAGGGATTCCATACAAGCCAAAATGCTGGGTTAGTGAAAGAAGTGTTATAAATGTAAGGTAACCACTAAAAAAAGGTGCATAGGGGTGCTGGATTCCTCACAGGATACATACTCATATTAATACTGGAAAATCCTCAGGCTCTAATAAGATACACACCAATCAAGCCATGGGCATGTCTGTCAGGGATAAATTTTTTGTTCTGTGAAACTTTACTTTCTACTCTTTTTTTTTCATTTCCCCTTATATTTTTGGACTTGTTTTTAATGATAATATGCATTTGGTCCTCAGTTATTCCTTCAAATGTCATCCATAAAACATATAACCAGGAGATCTGACAGCATCTTTGATATTTGGTCTTGGACAAATGACATCCTTTTATGGTATCCTTTACAATACACATAGATAATATATGAAGAAGGAGACAGCAGAAATGGATAAGTTCGAAAGGTGATTTGCACTCCTCATACAAAGAAATGGCAATAAAAATAGGAGATTTATGATACAATTTACTCCTTCATTAAGCAGCAGACATTGTATGTGTCAGCCAACGGCTGAGGATTTCAGTATGGGTTCTGCCTAGTGCCTCATTAAAAACTGATAAAAGAAACAGCAGTCTAACTTAAGCTAAATCTGCTGCTTTTCCAAATGAAGTATGCTGTCACGTTTTTACAAATTAGAATATATATCCATGTCTATTTGGATGCACGTGCAACTAACCAACATACCACTAAAATGTTAGAAATATCACATTGTGAAAAACCTGTTAAGCCAGTTGTGCGTATTATGCAGTGAAGTACAATGCTTGATATTTTCTTCACCTCCTGAATCTCTTCTTTCTTGAGAAAGGTGTGATATTTGATGCATCTTTTGGGGAGGATTCACTGAGGTATGCATTGTTCTCTGTCATAGCCTCACAGCTGACTTCCACAGTCCGTATTCTGTCTAATTTCTGAGTCACAGACGACCTTGCAGGCAATCAACTTTTATTACTTTCTGTCAGATAGCGGGGTTGATGTATAACTCTATTTCTATAAACAGGCTATTTCCTCAGCAGGTATCTGCATTTTATCAAATGTATCACTTATCAAATGAACCTCTTCATATAGACCCATTTTTTCTTGGTTTAAGAGCAGTTTGTACTTGAAAGAGATGATCACCATTACAAGTTTTTTCCTGAAAATAGTATGTATCATTGCACATAAATTCCTACACAATGCCACATTTTCATTTGTATTGCAAATGTATGCATGCAAAATAAGCATTTGCACAAGCAAAATAAATAAAGGATTGCATAAATTCGAGTTTGGCATAACTTAGTCTGATTTTCTACATTTAAACATCTAGCCTTACACATCCCAGACATAAACAGTTTATGTCAACTTTAAAATCTGGGACATTTACAGATGAACATTTTGTGCAGTGCAAGATAAAAAGAAGAGATATGGAGCCACCATAAGTTCACTTCTTAGACTGTCAGGGCTTTGAAAAGTTATGCACATCTCACTGGTGAAACATTAAGCTGTTGGCATATGCACTGCCTCTGGGTAGTTGCTGTGAATGTTTGGGTACCTTCTTGACCTCTGTGGGATTTCACTGATATAATTCTAAATTTCACAAAGGCATAAGTGAAGAACGACCAAAGAGAGTTTAATGCACAGCTAGGTTTCCAGTTGCTCAAATATCAAACTAAGCATCATTGTTTTGCTAGGGGTAGTATATTCACTTTCTTTAGGGTGTGCAGTGAGACAGACACCAGTGAGAATAGTATATTTGGTAACAAGCAAATTGGTTCGTGCATGTAATGGAGATCTGAGAGAAAGATGGTGTGCAAAGATTTGCCAGTTATCCTCTTGAGTAAAAGGATGAAATACAAAACACACCCATCACAGTGGACAAGCTGAACCCCTTACTGAGACAGAGGACTTAGTGAAGAAGGCAGATATATCTGGCAAAGAAGCCTGAATCTAGACATAGTATTTCAGTCAAAATAAATCTGAGCCACAGAGATGCTAAACCACAGAGATGCTTCTTACTCCTGGAAATTTTCCATGCCAGATCCGGTCTATCCTTTTATCTTATGTGGATATGCTTGCCTTTTAAGGCATCAGCTTTCTGGCCCTACAATCCCCACTGTAGGTCTTTTAAGGCCTGTTTCTCCTTAAACTTTTCGATGTCTCAGCCTAATGCTGTGGCAGATTATTGCCACAGAAATGCTGAGGAGCAACCTAGATCTCCCACCATGGCTGGACTGCAGCCTTTAATCACAGCTGATAATAGTCACTTGTCTGAAGCTCCTCCCTTTCAAGGCAATTACTGCACAGGTCTTGAATACCAAGTGCAATCTCTGCAACATCTTTCTGTTGCAACTGAGAAAAATTAATACAGATTTAGTAATAAAGCCACGTTCCGTCAGAGGTTGCTCCTTGACATGGCAAATATATTTATATTATATATGCAAAACTGAATCATGGCAGATTGTATCTGCAGGAGGCAAAACAGCTCCGTCAAATCAAAGCTTCTCTCCTCAAAAAGAAACAATTGCATCATGATAAGAGGTTTCAGTGAGACACTGGGGCCACATGCTGCGCTGTCTTGATTTTTGGATAAATAAACCTGTGCCCTGTTGTTTATCAGATGAATAAACCTTTGGGACATGTGACAGCCTACAACTAGAACACGATGATTCAACATTCAGGCATTTTTAATCAACACTCCAAAAGGAAAACACTTAATTAATACCTAGCAAACATTATCTAATTGAACCTTACAGTGCTCTCAAATGCCTGGCTACTACTCTTTACACTCAACAGATACCAACCTGCAGTTAAATAAGCTGTTTGCAGCCACCCATGGAGTTGATATCGAGGCCATGATCAGCACTCAGGAGCTCCTGACTCACGGTGCAGTTTCATGTTACGGTGGAACTGTTCCAACCCAACCTGTGACCGAGAAGGGAAGGCAGCTCCTCATCTCCCCCGACCTCCTGGTGCCTGTCTTGCACCAGATTTAGCAGTGATGCAACCACACAGCCAAGTCACACGTCGCTCACCGCCAGACACCCTGAACCTCCTGCAGGTGTGTGGGATCCTGCCACTCAGGGAGACTGAACTCACCACCGTACATCCAGTGTGGAGACCTCTACACCAGCAGGAGGTCCAGCACGTCAGACGGGTTCATGTGGGTGGCACAAGGAACGGGCAGATGTTGCACCCAGAGCCTCACCAGCCTTTAGGACAGCCCCCTTACCTACAAAACGTTCTGCTAGAAAGCATTCATCTCGTGCACAAGGACAAAAATGCCTGTAGGCTGATAGGGCATCTTTAATCCAGAATTCTTAGTAAAAAGTTTCCTTTTTGCCTTACTGTCTTTAAGACTCTTGAGTTATTATGGAGATGCCACCGTGATAAACTTTCTGCTGCTATTTGTGCTGTTTCACAGTAAGAGTAATTATTATTTAACAATAACTTTTGCTCTTGATGAAACATGAGGGGGGTTTTTTCTTACTTTTTCAGAGAAAATATTTGAAGATATATTTTATTCACTAAAGAATTCATTTATTTTTCATTTTGTCACAAGTTAGTGATATATTTAGATTTCACTGTAAACAGAGGAACAGTCAAAGCTCCAAAATTTAACTAGTAATTAGAGATTGGTAATTGCATACCTAATAGCAAGGTTGTGATTGGAATCATCCCCCCAAGTCCAGGTTATTCTTAGCTCTGAGATCACAGGCACATTCAGTGACTCAACGAAACATCGTAACTCTCAACCGCTTGTTTCTCAGTGCCAGTTCTATTACTTGACACACATTCATTAAATAAGGAGTATGCACACTCGGACATCTGGATGCAAACAAGATTACTATTTCCAAGCTTCTGTGCTAGAATTACCCTCCCTGCAACTACACAGTTCTAGCTAACAATTTTAATTTTTATCAGGGCTGTAGATTTTCAGACCTTTCTGCGGCTTTTTGGGAGAAATTGCCGCATGTACACAGTGATCGCTGTGACCAGGCTCAGGCAGAATGGTCCCGCGCTGTGGGACTGTCGAGAGACTGATCCCTTATCCCAAGCAGCGGGCACTGCCTGCCCTCCCACCCGCAGCGCTGTGTAAACAAAGGGCAAAGCACTGACCTCCTGCTGAGCCCTTGGATCTCCCAGCTCACAGGAGCCCCCGATCCTGCTAATCTGCAGCTGCTCGTTCTTTCAGCATTCCCCAAATCCTCATGTGCTTGCAAACCATCTGTATGCCTCCACCTTTTCAGATAACTCTTCCAGCTCTTCCACATTTGCTCCTCTGCTATTTGTGGCAACTGCTTGTCTTGTCATCCCTCTGTTTTTTCTACTCCATCATATAAGCCTGCAATACCAACTGCCTTTCTTCACTTCTCCACCTCTACTCTCTTTCTCATAAACCCCAGTGTATCTGAGCACCTTTGCAGCTTCTCATACCTCCAAACTTTCTTTCTCTTTCCACTGTTCACATGATTCTCTGCCCAGTTAAGGTCTCACTTTACCCCTTTCCATAAATGTGTCTCTGGCATCCTGCTTTCAGTTCTTCTTACTTTCAGAGTTCTGTTTGAGCTCCTGAGTGGACTCGTCTTCCCATCTGGCTCCAGAAGATACCTAGAAAAATAAATAAAATTTAAAAAAAGGAGAAAGTTTGTACTAGTGAACTTGAAAAAATTAAAACCTTCTTAGTACTTATCACAAAAGGCAGAGCATTAAAGTCCACGGGTATACAAGCTACACAACCCAGCACCTTCTTCAAGGTTAATTTTTTTATGGATATTATTAACTACAAAGTCCTTTTGAAAAAAAAAAAAAAAGAACATATCATTCTAGTATAATGTACTTTACAAACACAATTTAGATAATTAAGATGTTGGTGGTAACAGTCTCTGACCTTTGTTAAGTTCTTGTAAAAAAGCCCTTGATCAACACAATTTATACTGGACTGTAGTGACTCAGTAATTGCACAGGGATTTCTAGAACCAGACTTTACATCTGTGAGGAGCAAACAGAAAACTGGAGGACAGAGGAGAAAAGTTCAAGTTATCTGAGTAGTTTAATTGGGCAATTTAAATATTTTATAAACAGTGGACTCAATTTTCAAGTTAACTCTGAGCTTCTTGATTTCGTGTTTTGTTTTTTTGACAGCTGGAGTATCTTACAGCTGTCCTTGTAGTGTTTGTGGGTCTTTTTCTAAGTTAACAGTATCTGTCTTCAAGCTAAGCTCCAGCTCAGATTCTGCACCTGTTCTACTTCAAATACTACCAGGGATTAATTGGGCTCATCTTCCCTACTCTCCTGATGCTGAATAACAGGTATTACTCAACCTCATAGCACACAGATGTTTGGATGAAGCAACAGAGAACCAAGGAGAAGGCTTTGCCAGCACACCCAGCTTATGTCACCAGTGAATTGGCCTAAAGGATTTTATTTGAGTAAGGAAGTGGAGTTTGGTTTCCAGCTTGTTTACGGGTGATCATGGTTTTAACACAACTTTGTGACTTTTCACGTTACCTGGTTCTCAAGAGGTAACATGGCCAAGCTGGGTGGAGCCCTGAGCAGCCTGATCCAGTGGGTGACATCCCTGCCCACGGCAGGGGGGATTGGAACAAGACGACTTTTCGAGACCCTTCCAAGGCAAACCATTCTGTGATTCTGTGATTGTATGATAACACTTAGCCCCTGAAAACTGCGGAACTTCGGGGATTTTGTTTGTTTGTTTGTTTTTTCCCTCGTGCTGGAAACGAGGTATGAAAACGCAAGGCACATTACCAAGGTAAGGATGGGGACACCCTCGGATGCGTGTCGGGCATTAACTGAACAGCAGAGGCTCCTCTGCGGGAGCGCTGCCGGCCGCAAGCACGCCGGCACCCAAACCCCAGCAACAGCTGAAGGAACCACGAGCGGCATTTAAAAGCAATAAACACGCAGGAGGACGCCGACGGGCTGCGCACGCCAAGCCTGAGGGCGGCACCGCCGCCTCACACACCGGGGGCGTCCCGGCGAGACCTTATGTGCGCGGGGGGGGGAGAGAATGACAGCGGAGCAGCCACACCGGCTTTGAAGTGGGAGGCTCCCTGGAGGCTTTCCTTCTCCCCCTAGCCCTCCCGTGCGGCGGGAGCCGCACGGGGCTAGGGGGGGAGAAGGGAAAGCCTCTCTGGATTCCCCCCTCACCGATCCCCCTCACGGGAGGGGCGGAGCGTTACCGCCGCCCGCGCGTGCGCGGCGCCCGCCGGGTGAAGAGGGCGGGGGGGGGGGGGGCCGGCTTCCCGCTCGCGCCCGCTCCGCTTCCGGGTCGGGGGCAGCGCCGGGGCCGCCCGGAGCGAGGGGCCGGGCGGCGGCGGCGCAGCGGCAGCAGCGGCAGCGGCGAGGGCCGTAGGCGGAGAGCGGGGGAGCAGCAGCAGCAGGAGGAGGGGCGGCGGACATTGCGCGCCGGGGCGGCGGGGAGGGCCGCGGTGGGGAGGCGGCGGCGGCGGCGTTCCCTCCGAGGCCTGGTGCGGTCCGCCGCTCGCCGCTGCTGCCGCCGCCGCCGCCGCCGCCGCCGCTGCTGCCGTCCGGCCGATGCTCCCGGAGCCATGGACAAGATCCTGGAGGGGCTGGTGAGCTCGTCGTCGCACCCGCTGCCGCTGAAGCGGGTGATCGTGCGGCGCGTGGTGGAGTCGGCGGAGACGCCGCTGAGCCAGGCGCAGTGCCGCGCCATGTTCGCGCTCGGCACCCGGCTGGTGCTGCAGGGCCCCGACCCCTTCCAGCGCCAGGTGGGGCGGCAGGTTGCTGGACGCCTACGGCCGCTTCCACCGCGACGAGTTCGAGGCGTTCTTCAACCGCGGGCTCGTCCTGGGGCTCCTGCAGCGCGGCTACGGCGAGCTGAGCAACCGCGACCCCGCCATCCTCGACTACATCCAGGCGGGGCTGCGCCTCATCATGAGCTGCCCCTCGGTGCTGGAGCTCTTCGAGCTGCTGCAGGTGGAGGCGCTGCGCCTGGTGTGCGAGCGCCCGGCGCCGCCGCTCTGCGCCCGCCTCTGCCAGCTCCTGGGAGACTTCCCGCAGTGCCTGCCCCGCGGCAGGAAGCTCTCGCTCGCCTTCTGCCAGCAGCTGGTGCGCAGCATCGCGCACTTCCAGAGCCAGGGCACCCGGGAGGCTGAGCTGCGCCTCTACGTGTCGCAGGTGACGCAGGTCAGCGCGCTGCTGCGGAGCGTCTGGAAGGCAGAGCCCGACACGCTGCTGCCCTCCCTGCAGGAGCTCTTCGCCGTCATCTCCGCCGCCGGTGAGCGGGAGGGGCTGGGGGTGCGGGGAGGCGGGAGCCGTGCGGGGTAAGGTGGGGCGGAGGTTATCCAGCGGGAAGGAGAAGCCCTGGGTGCTCGCGAGTGGTCGCTTTGCAGGCGTCTCGTTGGAACCGTTGTTTTCTCGCCCGGGTGCTAAAGTGCAGCTTTCTGGCCAGCGAGAAGGCAAAGCCTTTGTTATTTCCCTCGTAAAAGCTAGAGGGGAAATAGTGATTTATTTAGCTGCAGAGCAGCACGGTGTTTGGAAAAGCTCCGGGGTCCGAGCCACACGCTGTCCAGACGTTTTACTTATATATGACTCCCAAGAGTTCCCAGAAAACTTTTGTAGAGCCTTTGGTTCTTAATACCTTGAAGTCATGTAAAGAGAAAAAGCCACAGACTTTTTCCCGAGAGATTTCTTTTAACTTAGTGAGGAAATAGGCATTTTGGCATGCAGGCTGTGACCATGAGGACTCCAAGCTGGCCCCAGTGACATACGAATCCAATCTCTTACAGCAATGCTTTGAATGATGTACCAAAACGGAGTTTTAGGTGTCCTCTTAGAATTAAAACTATCAGTAGCAAAATGCGTATAAATATCTCGAGGTTGGGTGCCAAAATGATGGTACCAGACTCTTTTTGGTGGTGCCCAGTGACAGGATGAGGAGCAATGGCCATAAACTGAAATGCAAGAAGTTTCACCTCAGCATGAGGAGAAACTTCTTTGCTTTGAGGGTGGCAGAGCACTGGAACAGCTGCCCAGGGAGGTTATGGAGTCTCCCTCTCTGGAGACATTCGAAACCTGCCTGGATGTGTTCCTGTGTAACCTGCTCTGGGTGACCCTGCCTTGACAGAGGGATTGGGCTGGATGACCTCCAGAGGTCCCTTCCAACCCTAACAATTCTGTGAAAAGCTACTCTTCCTCCTTACTTCCTCGAGAAGGATACCTTAAGTCTTGGAACTGATTACCAAATTGGAGGGTATGAAAGAAGTGTATAAAACCTGGCGATTTTAGGAAGCATTCCGTGCCTGAGTAATGGAAATGTGATTGCAAATAGGTCCTTTTTGACAGCAGAAATCTACGGAGTACTGTATTAGTTCCCATGGGGTACCTGGGAAACTTAACATCATATTTTGCCCTAACTGGTATGGTTATCAGACAGTTGCTGAGACAGGACATGGGAAATGTCAGCTGCATTAAATCCCTAGGCTTAACATCAAGTATAACTGATAATTTATTTTTTTTTTACAAAAATATAAACCCCACTTCTCAGCTCCATTTAGGGCTGAGGAAGAAAGTGGCAGATTGTCACTTTCTTACATGTGCATTAAAAGAACAGAAGGAGTTTGTAATTCAGTGCTGTTCATTGTCCTTAACTGAAATGTTTTAATTTTGGTTTGGTTTGTGATGATAGACGTAGGATAGATTCATTCTCACTTTTCAACTGTAGTGAAGATGTTGTTTCGAAGATAAATCTTATTTTTTTTCCTGTGGGGTTTTCTTTTTAGTTTCTTACATTATGTCATGTTCGACTGTTGCAGATACTTCCTTCGAACCTTCTGTTGCACTGGCAAGTCTTGTGCAGCACATACCACTACAGATGATTACAGTACTCATCAGGAGCCTTACTACAGATCCAAATGTGAAAGATGCAAGTATGACTCAAGCTCTGTGCAGGTAATGTATCTTGTTGTAAAGGGAGAGAAGAGTCTCTTTCTTAATCTTTCCTTTTTTTGAATTTATTTGTCACTTGGGTTCCATGAAAAAAAACCCAGCTAAACAAAAAAAAAAAATGTTAAAAAGACGAACTTCTAAACTGGTATTCCAGTTCATGCTGTTTGGCATGTAATGTATTTATGGTGCTGTGGATATTACTGGCATGGTTTCAGTTTAAGATTGCTGCCTTCATTGCTGTTGTGGCTTCATTCTCGTGCTTTACAAGGGTGGATGAAGAAGAGGGTTAAATAGAAGCTGGGAAGAAGCCACCTGTGTTCCTTTTAGATGACGTGTAGATCTCCCACCTTATGGAAAATGGCATAAATAGGAAACTTCATGGGGTTTACAGTCAAGCAGAGAAACAAACCCATGTTTTCAGAACATGAACCTTTCTGCTTTTCCAAGAAGTAGAGTGGTCTCACATGGTTGTCTTATCTGTCATCTCCTTGCCCATCCTCTTCTCTAAAGAGAGGAGACAGTTAGAAATGAGTTTTACTGCTTAGTTTTGAGTTTTTGTTCTGCTTACACGTCTTCCCCATTTTTTAGTAGGATTCACAGAGAACATTACCATCTTCACTCAGGCCCTCAGAGGTTTTTTGGATGTTCTGGGGATTCAGATTGCAGTCTTGATATCTTAGCATCTTCAGATATGTGAATAACAGTGATGCAAAAAGGTGGCAGTGGGAGAAAGATGAAGACCTTGAAGTTCTTTGAATTATTTTTTAAAGCCTATTGAAATTA